CACTACTTAGAGACTTGAAATTTACATCACATGCAGATAATAAGTCCCCCATCATAAATTGCAAATTTTATGCATGACTGACCACGCTTTCACGCTCCAGTGAGCAAAACGCGTCTTCAGTTTTTTTTACGCGGGAAGCCTGTTAAAGCTGCACGCAGCTCTATTAGGCTTCCCGCTGCTTGTCAGCAGGGAACCTATTGTATTCCTGTGTTTTATTATTAGGCTTCCCGCTGCTTGTCAGCAGGGAACCTATTGTATTCCTGTGTTTTATTATTATTATTATTATTATTATTATTATTATTATTATTATTATTTATTTATTTATTTTATTATTTTTTTTCAAATTGGTCCTACAAACTTGAAATTCACCTCAAATGTGCAGAAGTTCTCAGCTAGCAATAAAATGCAAATTTTATGCATGAGTGACCAGGCTTTCACGCTCCAGTGAGCAAAACGCGTTTTCAGTTTTTTTGCGATTTCTCAAAATTTATACATGCTATTGGGTTGAAATTCATAACAATGATTAATGGACATGTTCCGGATACGATATGTCAAGGATACGCATGAGTGACCTCGGCGATACGCTCCAGTGAGCAATATAGGATTTTACATTTTCATCTTCTTCTCGAGAAACGACACTACTAGAGACTTGAAATTTACATCACATGCAGATAATAAGTCCCCCATCATAAATTGCAAATTTTATGCATGACTGACCACGATTTCAACGCTCCAGTGAGCAAAACGCGTCTCCAGTTTTTTTGCGATTTCTCAAAAATTGATACAATGCTATTGGGTTGGAAATTCATAACAATGATTAATGGACATGTTCCGGATACGATGTGTCAAGGATACGCATGAGTGACCTCGGCGATACACTCCAGTGCGCAATATAGGATTTTACATTTTAATCTTCTTCTCGAGAACGACACTACTTAGAGACTTGAAATTTAAATCACATGCAGATAATAAGTCCCCCATCATAAATTGCAAATTTTATGCATGACTGACCACGCTTTCACGCTTCAGTGAGCAAAACGAGTCTTCAGTTTTTCTTACGCGGGAAGCCTGTTAAAGCTGCACGCAGCTCTAGTTATTATTAGTACTTATCGATCTTAAGATCGGTAAGTATATTGATAGGTATTTGTATGTATGTCTGTCTGTCTGTGTGTGTGTGTGTCTGTTAGATGCACGCGATATCTCACGAAAGCGGGATTGAATCTGCTCCAGATTTTGCATGTGCATTCATCTTATCTCGGACCAGAATCCTATTGATTTTGGGCGAATTATGTCGTATAATTAGCGAGTTATCAATCAATTATTGATATAGTGATCTAGATTTTTGTAAAGCGAGAGAATTTTGAAACCCGCCGAGTGTGTGTGTGCGATGCGCAGTGCGCAAGTTACAAGAGCGGATGAATCGAAACTGCAGTTTCTGTTTTGGGGGATCCCCTAACTATCGATCGATAAGTCTTCGGTTTCCAACCGATATTCTCGTTTATTTATTATTATTATTATTAGGCTTCCCGCTGCTTGTCAGCAGGGAACCTATTGTATTCCTGTGTTTTATTAGGCTTCCCGCTGCTTGTCAGCAGGGAACCTATTGTATTCCTACGTTTTATTATTATTATTATTTATTTATTATTATTAATATTTATTTATTATTATTATTATTTATTTATTGTTATTATTTTTTTTTCAAATTGGTCCTACAAACTTGAAATTCACCTCAAATGTGCAGAAGTTCTCAGCTAGCAATAAATGCAAATTTTATGCATGACTGACCACGCTTTCACGCTCCAATGAGCCAAACGCAAATTCAGTTTTTTTGCGATTTCTCAAAATTGATACATGGTATTGGGTTGAAATTCATAACAATGATTAATGGACATGTTCCGGATACAATATGTCAAGGATACGCATGAGTGATCTCGGCGATACGCTCCAGTGAGCAATATAGGATTTTACATTTTCATCTTCTTCTCGAGAACGACACTACTTAGAGACTTGAAATTTACATCACATGCAGACAATAAGTCCCCCATCATAGTTTGCAAATTTTATGCATGACTGACCACGCTTTCACGCTCCAGTGAGCAAAACGCGTTTTCAGTTTTTTTGCGATTTCTCAAAATTGATACATGCTATTGGGTTGAAATATATAACAATGATTAATGGACATATTCCGGATACGATATGTCAAGGATACGCATGAGTGACCTCGGCGATACGCTCCAGTGAGCAATATAGGATTTTACATTTTCATCTTCTTCTCGAGAACGACACTACTTAGAGACTTGAAATTTACATCACATGCAGATAATAAGTCCCCCATCATAAATTGCAAATTTTATGCATGACTGACCACGCTTTCACGCTTCAGTGAGCAAAACGAGTCTTCAGTTTTTCTTACGCGGGAAGCCTGTTAAAGCTGCACGCAGCTCTAGTTATTATTTATTTTTATTATTTTTTTTTCAAATTGGTCCTACAAACTTGAAATTCACCTCAAATGTGGCAGAAGTTCTCAAGCTAGCAATAAAATGTAAATTTTATGCATGACTGACCACGCTTTCACGCTCCAGTGAGCAAAACGCGTCTTCAGTTTTTTTGCGATTTCTCAAAATTGATACATGCTATTGGGTTGAAATTCATAACAATGATTAATGGACATGTTCCGGATACGATATGTCAAGGATACGCATGAGTGACCTCGGCGATACGCTCCAGTGAGCAATATAGGATTTTACATTTTCATCTTCTTCTCGAGAACGAAACTACTTAGAGACTTGAAATTTACATCACATGCAGATAATAAGTCCCCCATCATAAATTGCAAATTTCATGCATGACTGACCACGCTTTCACGCTCCAGTGAGCAAAACGCGTCTTCAGCTTTTTTTACGCGGGAAGCCTGTTAAATCTGCACGCAGCTCTAGTTATTATTATTAGGCTTCCCGCTGCTTGTCAGCAGGGAACCTATTGTATTCCTGTGTTTTATTATTATTATTATTATTATTATTATTATTATTATTTATTTATTTATTTTTATTATTTTTTTTTCAAATTGGTCCTACAAACTTGAAATTCACCTCAAATGTGCAGAAGTTCTCAGCTAGCAATAAAATGCAAATTTTATGCATGAGTGACCACGCTTTCACGCTCCATTGAGCAAAACGCGTCTTCGGTTTTTTTGCGATTTCTCAAAATTGATACATGGTATTGGGTTGAAATTCATAACAATGATTAATGGACATGTTCCGGATACGATATGTCAAGGATACGCATAAGTGACCTCGGCGATACGCTCCAGTGAGCAATATAGGATTTTATATTTTCATCTTCTTCTCGAGAACGACACTACTTAGAGACTTGAAATTTACATCACATGCGGATAATAAGTCCCCCATCATAAATTGCAAATTTTATGCATGACTGACCAAGCTTTCACGCTCCAGTGAGCAAAACGCGTTCTCAGTTTTTTTGCGATTTCTCAAAATTGATACATGCTATTGGGTTGAAATTCATACCAAGGATTAATGGACATGTTCTGGATACGATATGTCAAGGATACGCATGAGTGACCTCGGTGATACGCTCCAGTGAGCAATATAGGAATTTACATTTTCATCTTCTTCTCGAGAACGACACTACTTAGAGACTTGAAATTTACATCACATGCAGATAATAAGTCCCCCATCATAAATTGCAGAGTTCATGCATGACTGATCACGGCTTCACGCTCCAGTGCACATAACATAATTTTCAGTTTTTTTCGCATATCTCAATTACTATTGAATATTATGAACTCGAACTTGGTATTTGAGGTCGGTTGATACACCACAACTTATGTTAGCCTTTTGAGGTAGCACTCCTGGTCACATGGCTAAGTCATGCATGACTGATTTTTTCATATTTTACGTTATTTATTAATATTTTTATTTTTTTTTTTTTCAAATTGGTCCTACAAACTTGAAATTCACCTCAAATGTGTGGAGGTACTCAACTAACAACAAAATGCAAATTTTATGCATGAGATCACGATTTCACGCTCCAGTGAGCGTGTTTTTTTTTTGTGGTTTCTCAAAATTGATAAACGGTTTTGGGTTGGAATTTATAACAATTATTGATGGACATGTTCCTCATATAAAATGTCAAAGATAGAACTCAAACTTGGTATTTGAGATCAGTTGGTCCACCACTACTTGTGTTCGCCTGTTGGGGCTGCACTTCCGGTCACGTGACTAAATCGTGCATGAGTCATTTTGTCCTATTTCTCAGTTAAAATAGTTTCTTGCTGCATCAAAACATGTCACGAGGAGTCATGCTGTCGAAACATGGTATATGAGTATCTCTAACTTGGAATGTGAATTCATAGAGTCTACCTTTGTAAAATTATTTCCAAAGAATATCAACTATTCACTACGTGTGTATTTTGTAAGTTTCTCTCACAAAAATAGATAAATCACAACTTGCGTATTTGAATGTATTTAGGATGAGACGGGGACTGGGACGAAACTCAAAGCTATTCGAATACCATTATGGTAGCTATAATACGTCGGCAATGATTCTACAGTTACTTTACATGTTTTCATTTTTATGTACACGTGATCCAAAAGAGTACACCCGTCTGTGGTGTAAGAGTGAACAACCTGAGTAAAACCAGCAATGCTGAACATCTGCTCGATACATTTATTGTCAGCCAACAGATCTTCATTGAAATCGCCCATTATGAGACAGTCCATATCCAGATTTGCAAGTTCTTTTAACAAAATCTTTAACGCATTGCTAAATTTCGATAAAGGATAAGATGGCGGCCTGTAAATACTCACTAATACGGTATCTTTTTCGACGAGCAGAAGGCATAAAAATTCCAGGTTAAGAACTTCAATGTCCATCACCCTCACTTTCAATTCGCTTCGAAGCAAAAATCCAACTCCCCCTTGCTTTTTTGTTTTAAATTGTCCGAAAAAATCATCGTTTTTATCATAGCATTCACTTCTGTTTCGAATTACGATATTAAAAACAGAAGATTGAAGTGAGCAGATTCCGTGCGTTTCAGTCAAGCAAATAACGTCGCATTCTGTAAACCGGGAATCACTCATCAAGTCTTCCCAATGTGCACGTAATCCTTGAATATTTATCAAACATATTTTCAATATAATATCGATATTATCAATATTTTGCATTTTTCAGGTGAAATCGAGACATATTTGACATGGCACTTTCAATTCCTTCGTCGCAATATATAGCGCTTTCCCTGAAATTTTCTATGATGAGATTCTGAACACATCTCACCCTACTGAGCGCGACATACATTTGACCAGCTCTAAAGGCTTTTTTGAAAGTCAACGAGAGCTGCGTCCACTGTAACACCTTGCATTTTATGAATAGTGCATCCCCACGACAGTTTAAGGGAAACTGTTTGTAACTGCCGCGGCCTGAAAATGAATCTTCGACTTTTGTGATAGGAACGCCGTCCTCATATCTGCATTTTGATCTCATTCTCAATGCGGCGCCAACACGATGGTCGTCAAATCGGACATGGATGACATCCACTTCAATTGTACCTCTGCGCGGTGAATGCTCACAATGGTACCAATTACACCGTTAACAAGTCCATCGGTTGCATCAATGTTGCGTAGCAACATCACCCTAGCCTCAACAGAAATTTCAAAAGTCTTTTGCATTGACCCATTGGTATATATGTCCGACAGCTGGATGAGCGATTTTCTGACGTGGGAGTTAAACATCAGCAGCTAATTTCTACTATTTCCTTATCAAGAGAAAAAAGACGTTTCAAGTTGAATTCATTCACTTGAGCGTTTGTTGGGTAAATGTGGATGATATCTGATTTTGTTTCACCAGTTCACGCTGAGAGAGCATCGAAATATCACATGCGTTCATTTATCTCGCCCTTTTTCTTGTGCGTATACGATTAAGCATTTCTGCAAATTTTTTATCGCCCTTTTGCCTCATAATTTCGTTAAGCTCTCTAGCCTAAAAATAACCACTCCATAGATCGCCCAACGGATTTGCTTGAACAACGGGGATGCTTTAACCGGAGGAAGTTGATAGGAAATCCCCTACTGCAATTATGCTTACTTTGCCAAATGGAAACTCATCGCTTGCGCTTTTTATTTTGGCGTAATCTTCCGTGAAATATATGATAATATTGTAATCGACCATTGATATCTCATCAATGATCAATAATTCCAAATTTTCATACCTGCATTTCAAGGTGTTGAGTTTTCTTCTGCAAGTGGTCTGTATGGAATTGTCGCTTGTACTGGGATGCTAAATGTACTGTGTATTGTTGTGGCTTTGATATTGTATGCTGCAACGCCAGTGGAAGCGGTCAGTAATACTCGGATTTGAGAATGTCCTCTGCTCTGTTGGCGAGCACCTTGGATGTCTCGTAATAAATTGCTTTCACTAAATGTGATTTCCCGGTTCCAGCTCCGCCAGATATAAAAAGATGAAATGGATCTGGATTTTTTCCATTTGCTTTTTTTACACACCATTGTCGAATCGCGTAAAAAACCTCAGTTTGCATTTCGTTGAGAGATCTTAGGATTGGCAAGGCTTCCTCTTTACTAATAAAAACATTTTTTACGAATGTGATCTCGCTTGTCGTCTGATGGAGATCAGGTATATCATCACATTCCTGCTCGTCTTCAACAGTGTGTATTACGTTGCTGTCTCTACCCTCGTCACGAGTACGCTGTTGGAGCTCTGTTATTAGATCAGCCCACTCATCTTGTGAAAGCTGTTCATCAGCTAACATATTTCCGGCTTCCGAAAGTTCTTCGCGTATATTTTCAAACTTCCGCATATTTTCTGTCACGAGCTCTTTTACATTCATGCTTCGACCATGAACCGAGCACTTGCCAAATTTGTAAAATTCTGTATAATTTTTGTAATAGCGGCTTCAGATCTTCGTCGGTTCGGTGTGGGAAAAAAAGTTCCAATATACTTCGATAATATTTTTCACTATTTTTTTCTTTACGAAAACGGGGGTATCGAACTATCGCGGGTTGAGTTGTTTCTCTCTTTTGTACATGACCTAATCCATTTTCCAGTTCCAGAGCTTTTTTATTTCCTTTTGCCTGTGTTTGTGACAATACGCGATATCTTGAAAAAAACTCACCATAGCATATTTCGTCAATTTCCTGTTGTCTTGGCCTTGCCCTATATTTTTCTATCATACTTGTCATCCACATATCAGACGGGTTGAGCTCGCCGCCACTTGCTTTCAACTTATTTTTCAGCACTGACAATGGCAAGCTTATTTTTACAGAATCACCCCCAGTTGGTAAAAACACTACGTTTCGTGAACATCCTTTTAAAGGCATATTGCAAGCTCTGAATGCCGACTCCTGTGCACTCACTTCCCTGTTTCTCAAATACAACATCCCAATCTTTTTCATAACGTCCTTTGCAGAATGATGGCCTTGGTTCAAGCATTCGTTAACGCATCCTTCCATTAGAAAGCTCATTTCTCTCTCTCCCTTAGAAATATAGGATAGAAATATAAAACTACACATGCATATGCCATCCGTTCAAATTGCACATCCAAATTAGCGTTCCAGGCCCGCAGCAATGTTAGGGTTATATGGATTAGTCATATGCTACTTTACATTCTCTTTGTAATATCACCGAGACCTTCTTTGTGATCATCCTGCACGACATTTCGATATCGTCCTGAGTTATGTTCAACTCTTCAAGCAGTTTTCGCTAAATTTGCATCCTCAGCACATTGCCATTTTTCATTGAAGATGTGTGACATTATTTTTTTAATATATCCTTGGCCTTGGCAATGGCCGAATTCATCTGCAGCAATACCTTGGTCACACACTGAGCTATAAACGTCCTGGAAGAAGGTGGCCTGGGAAAACCATATCTACACACAGCTGCCTTTCTTCCGGCACGATTTGGTGTGGGATTTACTATGCTGTTGTTACACTATTAAACTATGTCGAAAAGATCTTTGTCTTCATGCTCTTGTGGAATCTGACAAGTTACGTGCCTATCTATATATGCTTCTACCTCCGCGTTGCTGTTGACCCCGTATTTCGGGGAATCTTTCACCCACAAGAGGCAGTGAATGTGAGGGGATCCGCGTTGTTGGAACTCTACCCTGAAGAAATAATCTTCCACTTCTCCAAGAGGTTTACATGAAGAAAGTATAATATTTTCAAGAAACTCTGAAACCGATTTTGAAAATCTGGCAGTCCACACACAGTTTTCGCGTAGAATTTGACATTTTTTCCACCAATCGATTTCTGATGACAGAACGCTTATCACCCCTTTGACGAAGCAAACAGTCAAAAACTTCCGGCCATCTCATTTCCGCGGACGAAAAGAGCAAAACCCAAGTCGGCAATCCAAGCTGGCGACCATTGCCAATAGGTCTTTCTGCGCGGCCTGCCAGAATGCTGGTGTCCTCTGACAGCGTCTTAAAAAATTTGTATGCCTCATCTGATGTTAATAGTGACCGAAATATATTTTCCATCTGTTTATATCCTTAATAGTCATTTTCGAATTGAAGAATCAGTTCCTTTGCGCAATGCAATTGAAATGTTTGATAAAATTTGATTGAGTTCACTCCTATACTGTGAGAAGAATATGTAATCTACGTTTTTCGAAAAATCGATCATCAGCACTCATCAAACGACAATTAATATATCTCGACAAAGTAATTGTTCGTCCCGAAATGCGCCAAAGGTCCCACGGCCTGAGGAAAGAGTGTTGGAAAAGCTTTGGCTTCATTTTTGTCATCCATCAATATTGAAATTGGGCGGTTCCCTTCAGCGGGAGCAATGCCACAGAACGTCTTCGGAAATTTGGTCTAAAACTTCTTGAGCAATAATCTACAGGTTGCAAGCAAGTGTCAAGAGTGGCATCTGATATAATAACATCTTCGGAAGGTGCCTCCAACAGTTCTTCATCTTCCTCCTCTTCACGTAGGTTTATGTCAGGATTCCAGATTTCGTTTAAACGTTACATCAGTGTAAAAATCATTATTCTCTTTTAACCACATGATGGCGTCCCTTAGGTTACCTTTTATCTGCAACTTGGTAATCATAGTAACCCTTGTATGAAAGTTTCTTTTTAGTTTAATTGTCAACATTTGGTCATCCACTCTCACCCGTGGTAGGACGGTAACCGTTTTTTGGACATTGGAAGGTACACATATCACTGGACCATGAATTCCGTATTGGCGAGTTTTGGGCAACTGACTTATTTTCATGAAAGGAATATGTAGCGAGATTAGATGGGCGCTCAATTGAGTTTAGTCTCGCTAACTCGGCGGAACTTCCTCTACAAGCATGTTGTTGTCCCACGCTTGACAGGAACTTTACCACTCTTGAGTTTGCTGCTACAAGTATGACATATCCAAATATTTCTTGCGTTAACAAATCCACAGGGCTTCGTGCAAAAAGTGTTACATTTGTGCTTATATTTTGTACTGATGTTCCCGCATTTATACTTATTTCTTTTGTATACGATAACGCTTTTACGGAAAAACGATCGAATGCATATGCAGCATACGCAATCTGGTCCAAATTTTATCGACTTTCTGAATTTTTCAATTAGAATTTTTAGCTGACATATCGCGTTTACTGCACCAGTATTTCTTTTGAGCTACGTTTCTGACACGTTGGTTATGTTTTGCATCAAATCTGTACATATTGGCACTCCTGGTTTTAACTTCCTGCCTGTGTAGTTCGTCAAGATCGTATTTCTTCACGCTTCTAGTTTTTCATTCTCTCCCCTGTGTTTTTCGTCATGTTTGTATTTCTTGACACTTCTGGCTTCATTTGCTCCCCTGTGTTTTCGTCAAGTTTTTGTACTGCTTCACGCTTCTAGTTTTCATTCTCTCCCTGTGTTTTTCATCATGTTATATTTCTTGACACTTCTGGCTTTCATTTGCTCCCCTGTGTTTTCGTCAAGTTTGTACTGCTTCACGCTTCTAGTTTTCATTCTCTCCCTGTGTTTCGTCATGTTTGTATTTCTTGAACACTTCTGGCTTTCATTTTGCTCCCTGTGTTTTTCGTCAAGTTTGTACTGCTTCACGCTCTAGTTTTCATTCTCTCCCTGTGTTTTTCGTCATGTTTGTATTTCTTTGACACTTCTGGCTTTCATTTGCTCCCTGTGTTTTTCGTCAAGTTTGTACTGCTTCACGCTTCTAGTTTTCATTCTCTCCCTGTGTTTTTTCGTCATGTTTTGTATTTCTTGACACTTCTGGCTTTCATTTGCTCCCTGTGTTTTTCGTCAAGTTTGTACTGCTTCACGCTTCTAGTTTTCATTCTCTCCCTGTGTTTTTCGTCATGTTGTATTTCTTGACACTTCTGGCTTTCATTTGCTCCCTGTGTTTTTCGTCAGTTTGTACTGCTTCCACGCTTCTAAGTTTTCATTTGCTCCCTGTGTTTTTCGTCAAGTTTGTACTGCTTCAGCACTTCTGGTTTTTACTTGCTTCCTGTGTTTTCGTCAAGTTTGTACTGCTCAGCACTTCTGGTTTTTACTTGTTTCCTGTGTTTTTCGTCAAGTTTGTACTGCTCAGCACTTCTGGTTTTTACTTGCTTCCTGTGTTTTTCGTCAAGTTGTACTGCTCAGCACTTCTGGTTTTACTTGCTTCCTGTATTTGTCATCAAGAATGGTACTTCTGAATATTGCTAGCTATTACCTTTTCTCTGTGTTGTACGTCCAGTTTCGTATTTCTTTACGCTTCTTGTCTTTAATGCTTCTCTGTGGCTTTCATTATATTTATATTTTGCTGAGCTTCTCAAATTTGATTTTTTGTTGTAGTTTTGATCGGTTTTATACCTTCGCCTGCTACTTTTTTCACATTCTCTCGATATTCTTCACATAATTCATAGCGGCATATCGGCTTCACTCATACTTGATGTTGTTTGCTTTTCTATGTGTCCCACCTCATACCATTCGGTATTTCTCGTAACTTCGTGGCTGAGTAACCATGGCCGGATCCCCCTCATCATCGCCATTCTGCCAACTCTTGACGTCCGTAACAATTTCATAATGATTTCCACCTTTGTTATTTAAATATATCGATCCCCTTGAATGCGTAACGTAATTGCGATTCAGTAACGCTCTGGAATACTTCAGCCACCTGTTTTCAAAATACGTGTATATGTCTAATGCCAGTAAGTCACAAGCAGAAAAATATTTCCACTTCTGTTGCCCACGTGCCGTCATCAAACATCTTGGACTGTTTTGATATAATTCTCAACCCCATCTTCCGCGTATTCATCGCGCAAAATATTTTGAAAAGACGCAATGGGATTTTCTTCGATATTTTGCGCAATTGCTTGCCTAAGTTGTGGCGTTATTGTGTTCAGTTCCGGACAGCTCATGAGATAACGCATTGAAAAAGCAATTTCCGTCTGCCTTGACTGAAACAACTTTTGCAGGTTCGTTCAGTCGTTCGTTGATTGGAATTTCATCTATTAACAATTCCGATTTTCAATCCCAGTTTTTTACAAAATGTCAAATCTTGTGGCATAGTTTTAGTCTAGAAAAAAGCATCTCGTGTTGAGTACTTTTAACTTCTTGTACCACATCTGTGTCATTTCCAGCAACAACCTGGGTGATTTCGACGGCGACCATTTCAAACTGACAAGCAAAATCCTCCGAGGGCGAGATATTTCGGTGTAGTTTTTGAAGGTGACAATGAACGTCATCTAAACACCCAAATTCAAGCGTAATTGACGTGCCATTATAGCACACCATAACCATCTCTATTACGAGAATGAGGATCAAAAA